CAAACAGATATAAGTAACACATTACAGTATTAAAGCTAGTTTTGAAGGACAATATCCATATATATAAAACACTCTTAACTGTTTACAGTATAAAATAGCTGTCTGAGGATGCTAACTGATGTTTCACATTGAAAGGTCCAGCTTTAATAAATGTGTCTGCACACGTAATTCTCAAATTCAAATACTTCCCACAGAAAATATAATCTGTATCTCTAAAACCTACATTTTAAAAACCTTCAGATTTATATGTCCTACTTAGTGATTTGACCTAGTTCATGCTCAGAAGCAGCCAGAATCTTCCTTTTTTTCCAGAAAAGCAATAGTTTGCTGACTTAAGAATAAGAACTTTTTTCCCTGATAGAAAGTGGGCAACTTGTTATGAGGAACTATGTCTTCTGTCTTCAACCCAATACATTATTTATGTGTGCAGGATTCAATGGTAGACTCAGTACAAAAATCAGAATCTGGACAACAAGAATCGAATACAAAAATCAGAATCTGGACAGCAAGACAACAAGATAGAACCAATCATAGTCATCATGATTTTATAGGTTGTAACTATTACTGCATAATGTGTTATTTACACAACAAAATCAGAAGTTTGCAATAAATAAATTATGTATGATTAAAATAGAAATAATTGCTCAGATTCTCAGCTCTTGTTAATTCCATCAATGAAAGTCAAGGAAGCTACATCAATTTTACATTAGCTGAGACTCTGGTCCTATATTTAAATGCCATAAATCATTGTCATTGTGGTGCCTACCAGTTAGTATATTCCTACATGATTATTAAAGTATGATACCAAACATACTATATGCAATCACTTTTAGCAAAACTAATCAAAATTCTTATTACCTCATTGTAATTCAAGAGTCACTTCTAAAACAGTATTTCCTGTGTCAATCTACTGGCACTGGCGCTGACGCTGGCACTGTATGAGAAAGTCTACCTATCTCAACCAATATAAACTGCATATCCAATTTCTGTGACATTGTCATGCATAAATACTCTAAGCTCTGAGAATTGTCAGTATCTGTTCCAATCTCCGTTACATTTAAATGCAGAGATATATGTAAACTTTTAAATCTAGATCCACTAAAATTAAGAGGGAGAAGTTTCTTTCTAATTCATCAATAAGTAATACTTAATATATGTCTAGTTAAACTAAATACATAATTCAACTTAATATAATAGCTACAAGTAAGTTTATGCTAAGCACAACAACTTCTGACTACAAAGATCTTTCTGTAACACAAAGCAACTTGTCTACATCATTCCCTAGAGACTATGAGGCATGCAATAAACCTTAGAATTTGTACAAAGGAAAATCTGCCAGCCTTTAAAAATATTGCTTTCAGGAAAGAGACTGAACATTTGAAGTTTTCATTCTATAGTGGTACGTTAAAGTACTATAATTCCTCTTAGCTATTGATTATAGCCATTATTTGTATTATTGAAGGATATGACAATTAACAGGTGAGGAAATAGGAATGGTATGATTTCCACTTTATAACCTAAGAATCAATTATTTCTTGAGGGGGCTTGGGAAGGGAGCAGAAGAGGAATATAATATAACACAGATGTTACACTGATTGCTATTCACACTAAGTGTATTGATTCTATAAACTACAAATGGTTAAATGGGTGAAACCTCCCTTCTGATCAGAATGCAGTTACGCTTCTAGAATATTAAAACTACCCCAAAGGCAAATAGTCTACTTTAAGAGTTGTTTCATTGTTCCCTTGGTCTATGCCCATGTATATGACTATGAATAAAATCAAATTGTGTAGCCTTTTCTTTTAACATACAAAAAATAGTAGTATACCATGTTAACCAGGCAAATGGGACAAGTACAGTACATGCTTAGATGCCAGATTACTATTTCCTATTAAATATTGATGATTTAGCTTGTAACTTAAATACCTAGACACTTTATGTCCATGTATTCAATATTTATATTTATAGGAATGCAACAATAACTCAGTTTAATGTGTCAAACGTATATATGTATACATTTGGGATATATATATATATATATATCCCAAAGCAATTCAGCAAAGATTACATTTTCAGTTTATTCTCTCTTTCCACAGGTTTTTCCCCCGTAATAACCATAGTTCCAAATTTCTGCAAGACTTTATAACTTCATATTACACAGTTGAACATATAGTGCATACTAACACATTAATATTCATCATGTACAGAATGCTGAAGACAGCCAAATGATTAAATTTCTCAGAATGACATCAGATTTGAAGGAATTAAAATGTCTTAAAAGATATGGAAACGTACATCCAGCCATTACATTTAAGATGGGGATAGTTCTGCAATGCACTCGTAGATAAACAGTGAGCAGTGCGCCGCCTTTTCAGCACCTTGGACAGCAAACACTTCCTTGAAACAAGCAACGAGTCTCACCGCAGCAGAGCTTTGTCTCTGATCTGTAGTTCTTACCGTACAGCTACACATAAGTGTTATAGCTGACCACATCACTGTTCCGAGATGACTTCTAAAAGGATGAATGCTAACTACCATTAGCTTTTGGTGCTCTTATTTCCCTCCATTTTTACATACACTGGTTGACCAAACTCTCAAAGCACGTTTGAATAATACGACAGATCTGGTGTTTGAGACCTAAAAACCATGGGTAATGTGTACTGCATGTGTACACACAGCCTTCTTGCTTTCTAAAGAAGTAAAAGATTGATGTTATTTTCCTGCAATAATTTTATTTTTAATGTTTCTTTCTCTTCACCAACATAAATATTAAAAACATTTCTCCATATAAACCCCAATAGAAAAAATATAAACCGTACTATATAGTTACTATTCACTGCAGGTTCCTCTTTCTTCCATGGAATGGTGTGCAGTAAAGGACCTGAACATGTAGTGATGGGGAAAAGTTCATAATATCAGCCCATGATTTTAAAACTGATGTTAAGAAACTAAATGTGATTCTTTGCCAGCACAAAGCAGTAGATCAGTTTCCAAGTTAAGAAGTTATTGCAATGGCAATGATGTCCTCACACTTTTGGTCTCCAGGCATATAACTTCTGGGTATTTATTTATTTTACCTCTAAAGCGATACATGTCCAGATAAAAAGATAGCAGGCTAAAGAATACATAAAGTACAGATGGTCTGTGTTTGCACATGCACAGAGTTTATCATCTGCAACCTGCAAGTCCAAAACATGCTTTAGGGAGCTGATTCCTATTCAACTACATGAAACAAATTTGGATTGATATCTTTCCCCTTGCTGATAACGACTGATAATTTCCCCATTACTCCATAATGAGGTAAAGTTATTTGACTTCTGAAGAAATACATGATTGACTTTTAAGGCAGCGTCTGTAAGTTAGTGCCCATATTCAACATCGTGGGATTCTTTGAGGCATTGACTGTTATCCTAGTAAAATTTCGAAAGGCCTTGCTGGACTTAAAAAATGAAGTGGGGCTCTGGTTCCCAGTGTATATAGTATCAGCATTATAGGCCTTCTGTTCAGAGCAGTAATTTGTATGCAGTGCTGTGTTTGGTTGACTCCTACAGCAGTTTATGGTGTAGGTGTGTTAAGCTACCAATATAATATAGTACTTGATAAAATATGAGTCAAGTAAGTTCAGAGCAGAAGCCATTCAGCTGGCTCAGAGGGTCCAAAAATTATACTTACAAAACAGACTGGGTATTTTAAGCACCAGATACAGCCCCTTATTCAGTGCTTCCCTGCATTGAGAGCTGGATCAACCGTGGTATGCAAAAGTGGAGAGATGACAGCTACCAAAGAGCCAACATGGGGCACTGTTTTCTTATGAAGAAAAATAATCTTTGGATTACACTGAATGGGTATTGGTGATACACAAAGAATAACGATGAGGCTTATTGAAATTCCGTCATCACTACTTCCCAACCAAAGGTCACTGCAGCATCTATTTACATCCACTCTAGTCCTTGAGCTCTCTCCAACTCCATAGATTTTGTAGAGCAGACTGCAGACACAGACACATAGAGCCGGTCATCATGCCCTTCTTCCTTTTGCTAATGATCGCATTACCACATCTTCTGTCTGTGCGTTAGGAAATACCCAAGCCTTCGTTCTCACTGAAAATTTACAAGCTGAAACGAACAACAAGTAACTTCGGATATTGCCATACAACGGCAAATAACCGGAACATCTGTCCTTCAGAAATCTGGAGCGCAGCCTGCCATAGCTGGCTCTTGCAAGAGGCTTCGCATGGCAACTGCTGCTAGACGCAATCCCTCCCCCCCCCACCCCCATGGATGTACGCGCTCTGCTTGGGCACAGCACCCCAAGACAAGAGCAAACTTGCCTTCCGAGTGAAGGAGACCCTTCAAGCAGCACCCGTGGCTCACGGGGCAGTCACAAACTGTCCCCACGGGAATAGGCACGTTTCCCACACGGTGCTTACACAGGCGCCAGCCGCCAGGACCCCGCCCGCTGGGACAACCAACTTCCCACGTCCACTCCAGCCCCCTGAAGAGGCAGGGGGAACACCTTTACACACAACTTCTTTCCACTGCCCCGCTCATTGGCATGCAGCCCCTGGCACTGCCTCTCTTGTCAAACCGCATCCAAGCCTAAGGAAGCGAGCCTCCGAGTTTGAGCCAATCGCATATTTATGGCTAGGGGGAAATCCAACTCTCTGCACTCCCAGAGGACTCCCGGATCGCTTCTCTTGTTCCTCTTCAGCCAGGCGTGAATAAGGATCCCTGGTCAATCGCCACCAGATCCACTCCTGCCCTGGTCAGTCACCACCAGATCCACTCCTGCCCTGGTCAATCGACACCAAATCCACTCCTGCCCTTGTCAATCGACACCAGATCCACTCCTGCCCTGGTCAATCACCAGCAGATCCACTCCTGCCCCAAGCAGAGCCACCAGAGTGAGGAATAAAACCAGATCGTAGCCCAAGAAGAAGAATAGCAACGAAGGGGAAACCAGGCAGGAAAGAGGCAGTCAAGCACAGCAGGGCTCCTACCTTACAATCCTCAGGACACGATTTCACCGAGTATTCATCCGATTGCAAATATTTCTGGAGCATAACCTCAAACTCTTCGTATTTCTCCTGAGCGTGCTGGTCGTAGCGCTGGTAAGCCTGGACGCACTGGCTGCAGGAGCCCTCCTCCTCCAGCACCGCGTCCAGGCTGCAGTTCAAAGTGTCCGGGTTGGACGGCCCGGCGAACAAGTCCCAGAGGGTGTAGGCATTACAAAAGGAAAGGTAAAAATCCGTCAAGTTCCAGCCCGGAGCTTTGCCAGCCCGAGGCACCTGCTGCTGCTGCTGCTGGCCCGGACCCGGCGGCCTCCTGCACACGGAGTCCGCGTCCCCCACGCTGAAGCACTGGGCAGGCGGGGAGCTCCGAGGGTAGCAGGTCTCCAGGCGCCACAAGGGGTTGGTGGAGTTTCCTAGAAAAATAGCCTGGTCGCTGCGGGGGGGGTGGCGGCTCTGGCCTCTGCTGCTGCTGCTGCTGCTGCTGGGGGAGGGAGGGAGGCTGGGCGAGAGGAGGCTCCGGGCTGCAGGCGAGGGCTCCCCCATGCCAGCCAGGGGCTCCGGCGCGGCTCCGCGCCGCGGCCGCCCCTTGTCCCGGGTCCTGGCCAGCTTGGCCTCGGCGCAGACCCACAAGTGATCAGAGAGCAGGACGGTGAAGAAGAGGAGCGAGGCCAGGGACAGGCGCCATTTCTGAGCCCTCTCCGAGTCGGCGAAGGGTTTGTCGTGCTCCCGGGGCGCGAAGCAGAGGTCGGAGCCGTGGTCGTAGTGCCGGCTGCACGTCCCGGCGCCCCTGGTGCTATTTTGGGAGCGCGCAGCCCCGGCCGACTCCACCGTGAGGGCTGCTCTGCCGGGCTCACCGCAACATGCATTGACTTGGGAGATGGGGGGGATGCTCTTTTCTTCCCTCCTAGCCTCTCTCTCCCCCCTCTCTCCCACTCCCCCCCCCTCTCTCTCTGGCTTCCTTGCGGGAGGGGGGGTCGGGCTCCCCACCCCGAGCAGCCGGCTCCGGAGGAGATGGGAGCACTAGTGCGGAGAGGAGGAGGAGGAGGAGGAGGCGGCGGCGGGGGCGGGCGGGGGGGGCGGGCCGG